TACTATGTTTCTATAATGTAACTACTTTCTGCAGGTGGAATCACATTCAGAGGACCCAGCATTAAGACAGCATGCTAATTTCGTCTTAAAGTATACTCTTGGTTAGAGAAAATCCTATGTATTTAGAATCATTTAGACTCTAAACAACTTATGGACCATTTAAGAGTCCTTTCTCAGTAGATCTTCACAGCCATCCAATTCAAAAGACAATTGTCATAATGTGGCTATAAGAGTACTTTACGATGGTTACACAGATAATGTCTTTTCCAGCAAGACCTTGTTTTTGTGTTGAGGATGAAATAGCTGAACACAGGTGAAAGGGTTAATGTTGTAATGGACTCTAATCCCCTCGGTTCTCGATCCCTCGGTCACCATAATCAATGTTGATGGAGAATCATTTGTAAGCAATAACACACGGACAACAGCTTTACAAGACTCTCAAATGAGTGTATTCCAGAGCTGGCTTTTATACATAGTTTGCTTACATTAGCCATGGTATATGCAAATACAGTACAGACTATAAGATTTATTACTTCCTTGTATTACGTTATTCTGACAATGGAAAGATAAGCTTTTGCATACGTCTGGAAAAGAATATCCTGAAATCGGAATGGGCAAGACATCCTGAAATTTTAGCATTGTCTTACATCCTATAGAAGAAATACCTTAGTCTGTCACAGTCAGCATATTATGACTTTAAGTATTCATATCCCTTCAGTCAGCAATAATCATGTTATAAACCTTATAAAAGCATAAAATACATATAAACAAGTTAACTATTTAATATTCTTACATTCCCCTCTTTGAGCAATAAAACAATTGCTCATCTTATCGATAAAATCTTACCAGGACAGAGAAACCTCCACATGGTATTTTCAGGGGTGCTAGTCACTCCCTGCGGGACTTTCATTAATTTCTTCACCTCGATTCCCATGTGGTAATTCCTAAGGCCCAGTTTAAAGATGGGTTGATACTCTACAGTGGCAGAGAGGAGAATTTCTAATTGTTTCTGTTCTGCATTATGGATTCATTTCTGTACTCTCTTCCTCAATGTACAAGTAAGGTGACAGTTATATAAAACCATACACAATAAAATCAGGACTATAATAACAAAATGATAGAAGAATGATTTCATTATCTGAGATCCAGTAGGGGACCAACCAGTGAAGCATCGTACCAATGATGGGCTAAATCATTCTGAATTTGTGAACTCACCTTAAGGAGTTCTCCTTTTAGGATATGTGTGGCTACCTGTGTGTGTTATCTTTGGGAAAAATATAGTCCCCTGTGTATGTGGGTGCCCACCAGGTTAAATTCTTGGCAAAAAGATCATAAACTGGTACTGGTAATGTGTTAAATTGACAAGCTAATTTAACATCCTTTGATGATGTATGATATAATGTAAAATAGCATGAGCATGAAAAATGTGAAACATTACCAGTTAACCATCCATTGCATTTAGTGGATTGGGGTTTTAGAAGTAACCATTCATTATCTGTGAGGTTACACATTCCTCTAATCTTCTCTAGTTTAGGAATCATTAGTGTGTTTTCTAATGCCAATCCTTGTTGTATCCATAAATACCTGATGGCACAAGTACTCCAGTTACTTAGACCTGTTGTGAATTTCATAGTTGCAACAGTTAAATTATCTAAATAATTATACATTGATTTATCTAAATCCAATCCTATAACCTGTGATTTAACAACAATTGGAGCCCAATTTGCACTAGCATGAAAACCAGTCCCTATATGCATGCTGGCTGTGTTTAACTTATTCTTGAGGGTCTCCATATCTATAACTATTTAGTATACCCATAGTGGTTCCAGCACCTCCTAACAGTGTGTCATACCATTCCCTTTTCTGCCTTTGTTTGTTGTATTACATAATGTTACAACAGGAGTAGTGATTTTTAATGACACATGTACAGCTTGTAAGAAGGCAGTTGTATTAACACATGTGGACGGAATAGGTGTGTGTGTGTCGTGTTTGACTTTTGGTTCTATGATAGTGGATGAAGGACAGTAATAAGGTGTAAAAATATAAGGTAGTGTATAGTTCTCAATTGTAGTGTTGTTCATAATGACTAACATTTGTCCCCTTTTCCAATTAATGATACCAGTTATATAATCATTATTAAAAGTAATAAGGCCTGTCTATTTACATTGATATGCAACCTTAACTGTGCACATTTCTGCGTTATAAGATCTAACAATTTTCTGTGAACCTTTAAACAAACATAATGCATCGGTTTCATTAGCTGTAGACACATTTCATATGGGTAACTGGTACTTATAAGGGTTACTATTTGTCCAATTCATCCAAATGCGTTCAGTGAATGAATGATTGCATATTACATGCTGATAGAAAGGTGGTGGAGAAAGGTTCTTGAGGGGGCGTGTGTGACGAATGCTAGATGAGGGGCTAAGGCCTAATTGGGCTGGGGGTATTGAAGAATTGTTCATCATGTCAGAGTCTTTTTCCAGAAACAAACAGGTTTCAAACTTGCCATTGACTTGTACTCATAATGGCATTCAAGGAACAATATCAGAGGGAGTATAACAACTCCAGAAAGCATAGCGCACAACATAATCTTGGTCTCAGGTACGTATGATCCTCTCAATCTACGATATGGTGTGAAAACCATGATGCTTCGCTGAGGAGAAATTCTTCTGTTTCCGAGCGAGGAGTGGTGTTGTCTTCCTTGGTTCCCCTCTTTGGACACAGCTTCACTCGGGATGCATGAATCCAGATGTCGTGGGAATCTGTGGACAGCGGTTCTGGGTACAGCAATCACAGTAGCAGGTGGTCCAAAAGGGTATCCTCCTTTCTTGGTCCTGTTCAACTGACGGATATACACCTTGTCACCGGGCTGGTATGAATGAGTAGGTTCCTGTGAAGGTAAGGGAAAACTGCGAAGAAACATTGTCATACATACCATTCGGTTTTATCAACAACTCCTGTACATATTGTTCTTGTATTAGCTGTAAATCCACAGACATTATAACAAGCGGTTCCCTGGCCCAGGGTGTGGGAAAAGGTCATCCCATCAAAAATCTCAGATGGAGATAATTTAGTCACCTTGTGAGGAATCACTCTTATCTCAGCTAAAATAGCTGGTAGATATCTAGTCCAATTTACCCATGTTCCTGGGTAAATTCTGGGCTTTTCCTTAATAGTCCTATTCATCCTTTCAACTACCCCTGTATTCTGTGGATGATAGGGTATATGAAACTGCCAGGTAACTTGCAAGAATTTAGCAAGTTCCTGGGCAACCCCACTTGCAAATACTGGGCGATTATCAGAGCCAATCTGCAGAGGGCAGCCATACCTGGGAATAATTTCAGTAACAATAATCTTCACTAGCATCTTCCCTAGATGTCACAAAGGCCTCATGCCATCTACTAAACTGATCAACTATGACCAGTAAGTATTGCTGTTTCTTACCAATTTTGGATACATAAATAAAATCAATCTGTAAGTGTGTAAAAAGAGCAGTGTTCACACGATCTTACAAAAGACTGTACATGCTGCCTGAGATTCCTAATATAAAATGAATTCATGAGGAATTGAATGGTGCTTGCTATGTGCCTGACTGATGAAAATAAAGCAGCTTGCTTCAAGTATGCCTATTCTTCAAGTATGCCTATTCTCCCCTCTTTAGAGAACAGATCATTTTGATCTTTCTCTAAACCTTGTTTAATCCAAAAGACAGATTGTGGGTATTTAAAAAAAGAATCTCATAACCACTTAAGTGCTGGGCTGTCATGTGTTGTGTGGTGAGATTTGTTATCAGCTGAGTGACCTGGTGACTGGCATGAAGTATTGTATGATGCCCTAGTGTGATAGTAGTAGCAGTTTCAACAGCCATTGCACATGCTATCAATGCTCTGAGACACGCCGGCATACCCTGTACCGGAGCTCGAACTACTTTGGAAAAGAATGCTATGGGACGCATACCGCCTCCTTGCTCTTGTGCACAGACCGCGGCCATGGTTTTACAGTTGTCCCGAGCATACAAATGAAATGGTTTACAATACACAGGTAGTCCTAAAGCCTGGGCTTGCACAATAACAACTGTAAGGGCAATATATGCAGCTAGCATGTCTGGTGACCAGCAGACATTTTCAGGGCTGTCAGAACGTACAGCCTCCCTTAGGATTGAGTCATAATGGGAGCATTCAGGGATCCATTGGTGGCAGTAATTAATCATGCCGAGGAAGGTGAGCAACTCCTTCCGAGTAGTGGGTGTAGGAATCCTCTGAATGACCTCAATACGTTTTGGACTCAATTGTCTGGTGCCTAAAGCCAGAACAAAACCTAAGTATTCAACCTTTGATTTACACAATTGCATTTTGTGTTTAACAACCTTGTGACCTTCAGTTGCTGACAGTATCCACAGTGCTTGCCTCAGAGCTAGGGCTACATAACAACAAATCATCAACATTTTGCAAAAAGGACGGAACCATGACCGGTGGTCCATGTTTTTTAGAGTATGTTGGAGTACCAACGAATAAACAGCTGGGGAATCCACATAGCCTTGGGTAAGCGTGTCCAGGTAAACTGACAGCCTTCAAAAAGTAAAAACCATAAGTAGCTGTGTCTCTTGATCAATAGGTATAGAAAAAATGCATTACTTAAATCAATGACAGTGAAGCAAGTGGCATCATGTGGAATGGCTGTAATGAGGGATGTCACATCAGGGACAATGGGTGAAATGGGCACAATTAAACTATTCAGGGCTCTAAAGTCCTGAACTAAGCGATATGCTGGCCAGTGGTGTTGGGAGTGGGTCTGGTGTTGTTCTTGCCTACCGGGCATATTTTGAGAATTGTGGGGTTGTTGGGGTGTGTGGGGTTTCCTGGGGTTTCCTGGGGTGTGGACACTCATTCCTCCAGTGGCCATATTGGCCACAGTTGAAACAAGTATTCCTCCTTGGTTACCCCTGCCCCTATAACCCTGATTTCCCTGTCTCCATCCCCTTGCCCCTCTTTGACCACCCCTTCCACTGGCTTTATGTGCTCCATCCCATCCACGCTCTCAGCCTGTGTAGCTGGACATAATATGTTGCAATCCCTGAGCATAATAAGCAACCTTACTTTCCTAAATCTTTTCTTAATTCAAAACAACCTGCATTTTCCTTTTCTATAACCTTGGTAAGAAACTCTGAGCTATCCAAATTGGCCCAGTCTGAAATCAATTGTTTCACAAGCAAATAATACTGTGGCAACATATTACCAAGGCATGACTGTATTTTAAAGAGATCTATATCATCTCCAGACATCAAACCTGCCTCATCCTTCCAACACTTGTAAAATTTCTTTACAAAAATCATATTACCAATCTCTTCCTTTGCATCCTGCTTATATGCCAAAGCAGTGAATATAGACTGCTTATTCTTCCATAATCCCAACATTTCAGCTTCCACCTTGTTCCAAATTTTAGCACATCTTACTGAAGTACTAAGCTCATAATCACCAATTCATTTCAAACCATATAACTCATACTCAGCATCCCATGTAATATTAGTCATCTCATAAAACAATATCTTTGTAGAAACACATAATGGGTACCCAGCAGATATGCCAATACAGAAATCACATTTATGGGCACACAACTACACACTCTGTCTCCCTCCTAGGAAACACAGATAGACACAATATAAAAGCAATCTTAAACTAACACCTCCAAATCTCCAACTATTCTTGGCCAAAACGCTAGTATTCAACAACTAATAAAACAGTTATTTGCTAGGTTATTTGGCTGTCATTCTTATCAGTATCACTAGACTGTGACAAACTGATTCACATATAATTTAAAACAATACAGCAACATAAATTAAACCACTTTCAAGTTAAACTGCACACTTATCGCACATTATCACACATTATCACAATCACCATTTACACAAAATAAACAGTTAACAGCTGTATTCAGAACATATTATTGGAAGGTATACCAATTTTAGTTTAGATTTATTTTAGGGATTCTTATGTATACATTTTCTTAATTAACTTCATTACTTTAATCTACTATAGTATTGTATTTAAAGAAAGGATCCATTTATATAGCGCGCTCATAACTCAACTATTTGTATAAAACTACCATTAACTAATCTGAGATGATGCTGCATCAACTTAAATCTTATAGAAATTGAACAAACATCTGGACCAGATTAAACAGACATGGTTTCACCTGAATCTTTCAGAACTCTCAGAGACTTAAAAAATTTATACTATACCATGTTTTAAAGGCATGGCAAACCTTTAGACCGGTCAGTCTCCAAGAGCCCTTAGTAACACAGGTAAAAACCTTTGTCCATGATGTCTGATTCAGGCTATATACCACAATTAAAATAACACATAATGTGAGACATAGAAGACACAAGCAGTAGTTATTACACTGGATCATTTAAAAGGAACCTGTTGCAATAAAAAGGTTAGTTTACAGTGCAAAATAAAGCATGTGTTGGACCGCTGAAAATGTAAATGTTGCTCTCTTATTTTCAAACAAAAATCATATTTACAGTATGGATCCTTTGCAACAAACACACAGGGCATGGAAGATGTGCTGATTGGTGTTTCTATACAATTAATCCCATATGGGGAATTAACTTTCAAATACTAATGAAGTGACTTTTTGTCTCAGTTATAAAATATACTGAGCTCATCATGCAAACAATGCAACACATTTACACTATCCCACTCTCATAATAAGTGTAGTGGGCTTATAGTATTTTTAAAGCAACAATCATTCCAGGCACACAGTTCCCATGTGAAATAACTTACAATAAAACAGAGTAATAAACTTATACTTCTATGCGACAGAAAGAATAAAGCAAAAAGATTTAAGTAGGTCTATCAGGTACAACCTATGAGTCATTTCTTTTCTAATATACAGTACTGCTATCTTGCAAAAAGATAAGTCCTGCGCTCACTCCCATCACTACTGGGCAGCAGCAAGGACTACAGTACACATCAGCCCAATATATGGTAAAAACCAAAAAAAAACAAGTTACCTGCGTTCTCTCCTTAATCCCTATGTATTTTTAAAACCTCCATTTGTTTAAAAGTACTGCTATCTTATATATACACATATACATATACACACACATATATACATACATATACACATATATACATACACACACATATATACACATACATATATTGGTCACTCAGGACATGAACTCACATTTCCCATACTGCTGACTCAGAGTGGGGACACTACTAACTTACCAAAGTGTGTCCCCAATATAGACAAACAATCACCCACAAAAAAACACTTAAGACAAACAAAGGTGACCGGGAGAAAGAGAAGTTTGGGTTATACTTATAGATCTACAAACCGTGCTGCTCAGAACACCTATAGACTTAATAAACCGGAGACCTCTTATGGTCTCAAAAACCTGTATCTACCTGAGATACCCTGTATCTATCTTAGATACTAACCTGGGTTACCAAAACCCTATAATAAACCGGAGACCTCTTATGGTCTCAAAAACCTGTATCTATCTTAGATACTAACCTGGGTTACCAAGAACCCCTATATATATTTAGACCAAATGTCTAATAAACCGGAGACCTCTTATAGTCTCAATATAACTAGAGTCCTTACACCTTTCCTATCTACTGGATACAGTCTTACTGAACCAAAGGGGGTCATAGACAATCAGCGTCAAATAAGACACAAAAAGGCTACTCACCGCAAATGGTTTTGCTGATCCAACTTCTATCCCACTTCTAGACACCAAGCTGAAAGGGTTAATGTTGTAATGGACTCTAATCCCCTCGGTTCTCGATCCCTCGGTCACCATAATCAACGTTGATGGAGAATCATTTGTAAGCAATAACACACGGACAACAGCTTTACAAGACTCTCAAATGAGTGTATTCCAGAGCTGGCTTTTATACATAGTTTGCTTACATTAGCCATGGTATATGCAAATACAGTACAGACTATAAGATTTATTACTTCCTTGTATTACGTTATTCTGACAATGGAAAGATAAGCTTTTGCATACGTCTGGAAAAGAATATCCTGAAATCGGAATGGGCAAGACATCCTGAAATTTTAGCATTGTCTTACATCCTATAGAAGAAATACCTTAGTCTGTCACAGTCAGCATATTGACTTTAAGTATTCAATATCCCTTCAGTCAGCAATAATCATGTTATAAACCTTATAAAAGCATAAAATACATATAAACAAGTTAACTATTTAATATTCTTACAACAGGATACCAAGAAGGCGCAGTGGCCAAGTGGTAAGGCGTTGGTCTCGTAAGCCAAAGATTATGGGTTCAATCCCCATCTGTGCCTATGCAAATTGGAAAAAAATTGTCCATTGTAATTAATTCAGCAGCACCTCAATTACGCATACTTTATACAAAATCGAAGAGTTCTTCACAGGTCTATTAACTGAAAGTTTTCCGTCCAACAAACTAAAATGGGAAAAGATTACTTAATCACGGGCTGAAAATTTAAACTAAGTGGCACTATGACAATGTTGTATTGAAATTCACATTATTAATGGTCAATTTGTATAATTATTCTAATTTGTGACTATTTTAATCTCTCTGGCAATCAGATTTTGATTCCCTTCTTTGGTATTTTCACATTTCTGGTTTAACAAAACTCATAACGGACTAATCTATCATTTTCTTTTTTAGGCAAGATGCATACAAATAAAAAAATAAAGTCTTGTTTTATTTTTTAAATATTGCAGAAGAAACAGGACAGTAAACAGACATTTACATGGCATTTTTGAACAATTTTCTGGAGGCCTGATCATTAAAAGGGCTGTGCAAAAATATCTCAAAGGTCATATTTGAAAACGTGGTGAAGGAATGGTCCATCTGGAGGAGCAGACAAAGGTTCTTTCATTAAAAACCCAATGAAGAAGACACATTTCTCGATAACGTACACTATCAAAATCAATAGATACAGCTGAGGATTGTATGGGTGAAATATGTCTTTGTTTGCTTATTTTAAAATAAAAAGTTTAGTGGACAAAATCAAATGTTTTGTCTTCCATATATTATTAATGGTTCGATTGTTAGGGACATTTGTCAATGTTTTTTGGATTTAAAAAGAAGAACTGTCCCTTGCATATGGAGAAAAAGGAATATTTTTAATTCAAAATAGGCAGGTTTTTCCATCAAAAAAATTTGAATGGGAGGATACCCTTAATGGAAGTTCTAATACTTTTTAAAACTTAAGTACTATGTTTCTATAATGTAACTACTTTCTGCAGGTGGAATCATCTTCAGAGGACCCAGCGTAAAGACAGCAAGACCTTGTTTTTGTGTTGAGGACGAAATAGCTGAACACAGGCTACCAAGAAGGCGCAGTGACCAAGGTCTATTGAAATTCACGTTAACAATGATTCATTTTTACAATTAATCTAATTTGTGATTTTTTTAATCTCTCTGGCAATCAGATTTTGACAAAGGCTTTTTTATTAAAAAACCCAATGAAGAAGACACATTTCTCGATAACATACACTATCAAAATCAATAGATACAGCTGAGGATTGTATGGGTGAAATATGTCTTTGTTTGCTTATTTAAAAAAAAAAAGTTTAATGGACAAAATCAAATGTTTTGTCTTCCATATATTATTAATGGTTCGATTGTTAGGGACATTTGTCAATGTTTTTTGGATTCAAAAAGAACTGTTCCCTGCATATGGAGAAAAAGGAATATTTTTAATTCACAATAGGCAGGTTTTTCCATCCAAAAAATTTGAATGGGAGGATACCCTTAAAGGAAGTTCTAATACTTTTTCAAACTTAAGTACTATGTTTCTATAATGGAACTACTTTCTGCAGGTGGAATCACATTCAGAGGACCCAGCATTAAGACAGCATGCTAATTTCGTCTTAAAGTATACTCTTGGAGGGGCGTGGCTTGGAGGCCGAGGAAGATGGCGGCGTAAACCCGGAGCTCCCCAGCAAGATCGGCTAAAATCCTCATCCCAGCACTACCACCGGAGAGACCATGGGCAAAACTCACCGGGCATCGCACTCTGCCAAGTCCGCCGACACGCCGAAAAGCACCGCTCCCTCCTCCATGCGGCAATACCTGCTGTCCCACGCCGACACGGCATCTCAGGCCTCCAACGATTCAGAGGCGCCCGGCGCCTCCCGCCCAGCATCACCACGTGGCGACCGCCAGACACCGCCAACCCAGACACCCCTGGACCCCCAACCTGAATGGGTGCAACTCATAAGGGCACTCCCGACGAAACAAGACCTCAAGGAGGCCAACACTGAACTGCGGTCCTCCATTACAGCGGAGCTGCACTCCCTCAGGGAAGACATTCAAGGCCTCCACACCAAGGTGGCTCAGCTGGAAGCGGACTGCGACCACCTGACATCCACGCAGTCTGCCACAACGACCACCATGCAGAGCCATACTGCTCTGATGCAGCAAATGGCCCTACACCTGGAAGACCTAGACAATCGTGGCCGACGCCAAAATATTCGGGTGAGAGGCATCCCAGAGGACACTGACCAATCCACGCCGATTCTGGACACTCTCAAGGAACTGTTTAATAAAATATTGGGCCGCCCAGCACCCACCAAGATTGATTTTATCAGGGCCCACCGGGCGCTATGACCGAGAGGCCTGCCGGAGGCTCCCCCTAGAGACGCGGTCTGCTGCCTGGCAGACTTCCAACTTAAGGAAGACATACTGCGCAAAGCACGCGGACTGGAGCGGATCGTACTAAACGGCGTGGAGGTGCAGCTTTACCCCGACCTCTCCCCGGCCACCTTGGCCTACCGGAGGGCGATGAGGCCCCTTACCAGAGCTCTCCAAACACGAAAGATTCGATACCGATGGAATTTCCCGACTGGGCTGCAGGCCATCACTGCGGAGGGCACTTTCACGGTCCGTCACCCTGAAGATCTAAACGACTTAATTGTGGAGCTGAACCTCCCTCCCATCCATATGACATGGCCGGACCCTACTGCTTTTTACATGATGAACTCTGACACACGAGGACCCTCATCCCTGCCCCGCAGAAGCAGGGGATCCCGCCAGCAAGCCACCAGGCTTTCAGGGACTGCGGCATAAGTGACCTGGAGACGACCGCAGCGCATATCCGCAAGTAGCACCCCTTGGGTCACTCTCCTCATCCGAGACTCTAACCCTTTGCTATCCTTCAGAGGCCTACATTGGCCGCTATGTGGTAATTGACAAATGCGGGAGGGGGGGGCAGGGGGCTAGGGGAATACCGGGGCATCCATTTACTGCACTGATTTCCTGCGTGAAG